GATCATAAGAAAAATTGTGTCATGTTCACTTTCCAAATTTCAAAAACCCCAGAAATGAACCTAAGACCCTACAGGACTTGCTGCCCAGCACTGGAGGACTTGACACCAGGTTTCCCAGTATGACATCTGAATTCCAAAGATAGTAGTTAGAGCCCTTCAGAGAACTCTGCCACCTTTTTTCATTTATATTCTGGCAGATGGCTTGCTGGTTTTACTGACTCACTTGTCTGACATGCAAATAAGTCATAAGAGTATCATTTTTAGTATAAATAGCTATTAGAGGTCATCTGACAAATGAGACCTGCCTAATGACATTTCATTTCCTGAAATGTAACAATGTATAAGGCTTTATAAATTACATATGTCAGGACTGACTTGTAAATGGTTTACTTCTGGGCTGCTGGCAGAAGTTACCCCTTATCCTCTTAGCCCTATCTACTTGCCAGTGGCTCTTCTCTAAAAGTTCCCAAGCTCTTGGACCTGCCAGTGACTTGCTTGTGCAAGCAGCCCTGAACTCTGAATTGGCTTGGTCAGAACAACTGAAAGTGGAAGACAAAAACATCCCCTTTATGCCTGTGAAAGAGGTTTCTGTCCCAGGCTGCTCAAACCACAAAACGACCTAGTTTATTGTCTCTTTGGATTTGCTGGCAGAGATCTATTTGTTTAAGCAATTTCCATCCTACATCAGTTGAACTTAGTCATATTTGTTGAGAACTGCTGCTTGGGCTAGCCCTGTTTGCAGGGACCAAAGTGGGTTAGAGAGCACAACATGAGCATCTCTACCAGCAGATTGGTGTCTTCTTCCACCAGCATAACTCTCTGCAGAACGATGGTTTTTAACACCTGAACTAGTAGCTGGTTGCCCACTCTGTTCGCTTCTGACTTAAAATAGACAAGAGACAAGCACCTCTACTATCACAGCTGAGGAGGCAACAGTCACTGCCGTGGGTCAGTAAGAAGTAGGTTGGAGTGAGCTGGGCAGCCACAACCTCACTGGATCCAACAAAGGATGTTGGATTATAATCTCAAAATCTTTGCATACTTACATATGGACCCACATTTACATACGAGTCATCAGAAATTTGACAGTCACCCAAGTTGGGCTAGTTCTTCAGACCAAATTGTCCTCTTTGCCCATTTAAGAGGTATAGCCCAGAGAGCAGGCCATATAAACATGCTCATGCTGAGTCAGTGATGTGCCTCAGTCATAACAGGAGAAACTCCCATGGGTTTCCAGCCCTGATTTGGCTATAAAAATGATAATAAGGACACAACAGCCAACAGTGATGGATATATTTACTAGGAGTGGGATTATAATTATTCACTAAGATCATAAAATAGCCATCGGAAGTGAACAAATCACTGACTTGTGCAAAACATGGAAAACTGATCTAGAGGTGAAAAAGTCCTTACATGTCTGCTAGAACTCCTGTTCAGTTTTGAGTCTGGTGGGAGGAGGACTAAAGCGTGTCAGAAAATCTGCAACAGTGTAATGACATCACTCACATCATTTGCTTTTGTTTACTTCTACTGCCAACGTCTAATCCATTTTTCCTCAGGGGAAAGGTTAGGATACTTTCCAGGAACCAAATAAATAAACCAAACTGCATTCTTCCTGAAATTAGGAACTTCTTTTATCATGTTCCCTCCTATTCGTCTCCTTTCTGATGTACATAGTCCAAGAGGATATGGGAGAATATTAGACTAAAGCTCTGTGATCTGCACTGGATGTCAGTCAGCTGCTGGGAGGATTCCAAGGTTTTAGATCCTACCTATAAAGTCTTGAACAGTTTTGGACCTGGAAAATGTGGGGAAGTCAGTCCTTTCCCTGTGCCACGCCATCAGATTCAAAGATGTAGAGGTCCATCAAGATAAATAACAAAAGGTGTGCCCAGAAAAGAGACCTTTATTTTGGAAATAATTTTCCCTACTTCTGTAACCTTCTGGGCATGCTGTGGAGCCTGCTTTCCCCTCTCCATGTTAAATCTGCTGAGTGTGGATTGAGGTTTTTCTGTTTACCAGCTATCCTTTATCCTTGCTGTCATGTTCCCATTTATGAAGTAAATGCCCAAAGTATTGAATAGGTAACCTTAGGTATATTTTTAAAACTAAATAACTAATTTAGTAAAGTATTTTGAGTCTCTTCTTAATAGCTTTTCCATTCCTTTAATTATTCTTGAGCCCTTTTTTGAGCCTCTTTTAGTCTCTTCCTTAAGATGTGGTAACAGTAATATATGTAGTATTCCAAAGGAGGCTGACCTATATGTGTATATATATATGTATGTGTTTTTCATATTGTCCATCCCATTCCATAAGCACTCTAGCAACTTCTTTGTTTGCTTGGTTTTTTGTTTTTACTACAGCTGCAGTTTGACAGAAGTTTTTGTTGTGATGTCCACAGTGATGTCCTCATATCTTTCCTGGGCTGACAGAGGTAAATCAGAACCCTGTAAGATATTTTCAAGTAGATTCCTCCTGCATGTATTATCATTGAACTCCATTTGTTGTCATTTTGCCCGTTCATCTAAATCCCTCTGAAAACCTTTATATTCTACTTGAGCTTGTCCAACTTGGATAACTGTGTCTCATTTGCATACTTTGCACTCAACTGCTCATTTCTTTCTCCAGAGCTGCATTAACTAACAGTGAAACCCGTGTGGCCTTTTTAGGCATTATACTTTTCCTGGTTTTCCCCAGAGTCAAAAATACCCAGTTCAGTGAACCAAGTAACATACAGTCTGGTGCTTGCCCAGCCATGGGTAAAATAGTCCCAGAGAAGAGAGTATCACATTCCAGCTCTGAAGAACTATTCTCTCTGGTGAAGCTCTCCAGTGAAGGTCAGATGTGGTGACTGCATGTCAATGGCATGCTGATGTGCCCCCACAATGTCCTTCCTGATAAATAAAGTTTAGAGACTTCCATATTAAAGACAGGTTTACTGGAGGAATGGAGTACGGAAAGTTGAAAGGGATGAGATATCTTCCTTTCCTTTCCATTGGTATGATGATGTGTACATTCTCACATCATCATGGTGTGATGTGTACGATACTATCACTATATCCAATTTTGATATCGAAGATATTTAGGGATAGGTCCACAACAGGTCTATTAATAGTTGTTGCTCCAGTGCCTGCAGTAATTAATTGAGGATCTCTCAGGACTAACTAGTGGTATTGCTTAGATAAAAAAGGGACGGTTTCTTCTCCTACTCATCATCATTCCTTACTTCCATAATACAGAGGCTGTATAAAAGAACCTGTACAACAACTTTGCCATGCACTTCTTAGAGACGGATAGTTTTCCTGGCTCTTCAGCCTGCATGACCTCTCAGCAGCTGGCTTAGGAATAAAATTTTTAGGGTTTAGATCACTGTCTTATATCCTGAGAGATTTCTGGACTTTTTTTAATGACCAAAAGTACATACAATTTTTCAAACAATTTTTCACCTGGAAAAAAAAGGATCACTGGAACTAGTTGTTTTTGCTTGAAGTTGTTTAAATATCACCCTTCATTAACAGTAGCAATTTTCTGTCCTTTGGAAACTTCATCACTAAAAATACAGAAACACCAATGCTTACTTAAATAACTGATAACTTCCACAAAATCCAGTAATACACTAAAGTTTGGAAACTTGGAAACAGTATCTTGACAAAACTTTATCACCATTGAACATTGACAATAGATTAGATATTACCCTCTAATTCATGAGAACTCTGTAAAGCACCTCAGGAGAATGAATATATGTATTACGCTAAGGCTGTGGCTGGTAAGCCTGATGAAGGAAATATTCAAGAGAGAAGGGGCTTTGGATCTACTCATCCTCCTTCTGGGCAAGTCCTCTATGGTCCCAGCTTCAGTGACACGAGACTTTCATGCCAACCCTCAGCTTCTCCATTCTGTTTTTGTTTTTTTTTTTAAACTGAATTTTCTGTGATTTGGTCTCTTTGTCAAATATGAAGCCTGTCGACCTGTTCCTGAGGCATGTTGCAAAGACTTCTGTTTTGGAAGAGACTGGGCAGTTGGGATGTAGGTGCTTGGCCCAGTGCAGTGCCACATAGCTGGACCTGTGCAAGACTGGAATGAGTCTGAGTTAGCTTGAGTTTTGGAAGCCCTCATCAGCCACAGCAGAGTGGCATGGCGACAGGGCCATGCTGCTTCTGGCATACAGCTGGCACCTATGTGAACATATGTTCTCAAAATCTTAACTTTCACTGAAAGTCATTGGGACTTCCAGAGTACTCATGAAGGCTGACTTTGGCCTCCTGAAACTATGATCAATGGAGGGAAGCGGCTTCCACTACAGGACATTTGTGCATTCCTGCTTTGAACCGGTCTCTATGGAGGCAACGATGCTTCCTGGCGAGGCTGTGGCAGGCCAGTACATCTTTGCAATGCTATCTGTAATGTGAGGCAAAGCTCAGTCACCAGAGCTACATCGAATAATACAGATCAGCACATCAAGGGACAGTAACAGTTCCCTGGTGAGCTTTCTCAGCAAACCCTCCACCACGTGTGCGTTATCATATCTAAGCACATCTAAAGTCATGCCTATTCAAACATGCCTACTGTCTATTCAGACATGTGTAAATACCGGAGACAGATACATGGTTTCCATGAGAAGCTCCATTTGCCGAGCTTCTTATGGAGTAGGGAATAACAGAGTCGGTGGGAGCACTGACTCTAACTCCAGCACTGTGTCCTCAGCCTCCCAGCTCCTTTAGGGCTCAGCACAGGTGAAAAGGAACCACATAATTCAGAAGGAAAGAGGAAGAGGAAATTGCTTCAGGTCTGTGAAATATGTGATCTGAGACTACTAAATATTTGTGTCCCTGCAACATTAGCTGTACAAAACTGATTTTGTGGGGAGAGTGGCATATTTAGCTATATGTCATGGTGCTTGAATTGTGGCCAGTGTTTTTCAGTAATATTCTTAGTCAAGGAGGAAAACTTGCTCGACCGTCATTCATACTTCTCAGGAAGGGTTATGCTGTTGTCCTTACCCAGTAGAGCCACTGGCGAGCCATCCTGTGGTGCAGCCAGCGAAAGAACAGTCCAGAACAGCCCTTTTCAGTTCTTCTGCAGTTGCTAAGCGAGCACTCAGGTCAACACAAGCTTTCTCGGCTTCAGCTAAATCCAGACCCTGAGAGTTGTTCTTGGACTCAAACGCAAACACTTTCCCTGCAGCACCAAGAAAGGACATGTCACTCGTCATGGTATTGTACTTAATACATATTCAACAGAAGTATTGCAATTTATCACCAAATAAAGTCTTCTTGCTTTTACTAAGTACATTTTAATGAGCAACCTACTCCTTGGAATGGGTAATTTTATCAACACCATTAAGTATCTTTGTCTTAGCTTTTCTCTTAGTTTTGTTCATCAACAAAAAAGCAAGTACAGCTAAGTCCCTATTCATTCCTAGCCCATATATGAAGCTTGTCTTGCCTCTATAGATCTGTGCTTAAGATCTGGAGAGACAAAGCATGACACTCTCTCATACGCACACGTATAGTCAAAGTCAGAACATCTCCTGTAGGCTCTAACACTGGAATTCATTACTAAGCATTTTACAGTTGCATTATAACAACTACATCTATAAAGTAAGCACAAATCTAAAAGGCAGTATTGCAACCCAGTCTTTCATGTCAGAAATAGAACTATACTTATTCTCTAAAGTCAAAATGATGTAATTCTATGGCAACTTGTTCTTAAATGCTGCTGCAAAGCCACTTTGTTTTCATATCTTTCTGGAAAGATAGAATTTTTTTCTTAATGGAAGGTTTTTTTGAATGAGCATAAGAACATATTTAGCATAACAATTTCTTGTGTTATTTTTCTTTTCAGTTCCATTTATTTCACCTTAATTTATCTAACACTGTGAAAGGTGTAAGGGTGAAAGTTAGAGGTTTTAGCAACTGGGAACAGGGCAGTTGGGGTTTTGGCAATGAAGCCTGAGAAATTCCTGGGTTATGGACTAAACACATTAGCTAGATGTCTCAAGAAAAAGAAATAAATGATGAGACAGTTTACAGTGCTGACATTTCAATTGCTGTAAGTCTCTTCTTTCTTAAGATAACATCCCTCAGGATATCTCCTAGATTTCAAAGGTACAGATTGAAGTTGCTTGCAGGTGCAGGAAGACAATTTTTAAGCACTGTTCAGTCAGTTAACACTTCGTATGTCTTATTTCAAAAGTAGATTAGTAGTAGTGGTTATATGAATGCATAGCTTCCGGCACATACTGAGTGTTCACTATGTAGCTAGCTTCACACTCATAGGATATATTGACCAGTATCAGGAATCCTTCAGACTAATTCATCCTGATTCTGTACCAAGTGCCAGCCCCACCACATATTATTTCAACAAATTGATAAATCTGAATCTAACCCTAAGTATGGGAAACTGATTGATACAGGGTAGGTCTGTGCCTCACAGCTTTCTGTTCTCACCCATGTACAGTTTAACCCACTGGAAGGATCACAGTCCCTGCAGCAAAAATTGCAAAGTTTCTTTCAAGTAAATATGTCTTTTGTGTTTACATTAGCTAGCAAGCGCAGATGGGTCCTGATGAAGATGCCTACTTTGGTGGGAATTCTACATGTGCACAATAAGAAGTCGTCCTGACTTGAGCAGATAGCAATTTAAATGACTGGGACAAGCAGCAATGAGAAGGAACAGGAATTCAGAGTACCCAGAGTGATTTTCTCAGGCAGTTAACAGTAGTTGACCAAGGAATGCAACCCAGAAGCACAGATCAGTGTCCTAACCACTAGACTACATTGTCTCTTGATTCTCAACTATAATCAGCACCATGAACTGTAACTAGAACAGGGGAATTTACACAGAGCAGTGAAAAAAGCAAGCTTCTACAGTCCTAAGTACTGAAACACCAGGATTCTTTTTGCAAAATGTCCCAAATAATGCACAAGACTAATGTAGGCTGCTGTTTCCAAAGCCATGAATAGCCGTAGTGAGGTATGCCCAGTGTAGGGAGACATATAATATAAGCAGAAAGATGATGGGTTTAAACAACCATTCTTAAGTTGCAGAACAACTCTCATTCATAAAGGTAAGCAGGGATTAAGTGTAATGCTTTATTGAGGCTTTGTCCCAAATAAAAACTTGTCCATATTCTATATTTTACCATTTGACTGTCAGGATTGAGATGCATCATCAAAGACATATAGGACAAGTTTGTATAGCATCTGACTTAAATCATAAACGTTAGTTTGACATGGCAGTAATCCTTATTTTCCAGCTATTAGTATTTCAGTTAGAAGACTTAAAGAAAGGAAAATCGTTAAGGATTGAGCTCCATCAAGATATAATTAGAAGAAATTAAGTTCATCATTTAGTTTTTTGACCAGTAAGTAACAACTACATTTTATAGGAGTTTAGCTAGCCAAGACTGAGGCTGAGGCAGCTTTCTTTAACTACTGTTATGTGTTTGCTAGTACTTAAGGTAAATTAACTTTTTACTATAAGCTATGAAGATGCTGATTCAAAACAGAGTCTTGTCCTTCTAAAAGGTATCTGGGATGTCCAAATTATCTAGACAAATAGGTTTTAGGGTAAGCTAGGAAGGACTTACTGGTTGGGAAAATTATAGTGAACTGCTTTATTGGAAATTCTGGTTAGCCAGAAGTGGATGAAGAAGGCTGACCTGCTTACCAGAGTGACCTGTGAATCTTCTCCAAAGCTTTAGAGGCTCTATGGCTATCTGTCCAGTTTCTAACATGTGCCCTCTCTTTTTGCCTAGTTTCTTACTTAGAAAATATAATAGCATGCAAGGTTCTGTTATTGGACACCTGACCACTGGAATAGCTGGATCCCCAGTGTTCTGAGCTGTGTCACATTACTGAGGGGCATTTACTGGAAAAAAAGTACAGGAGATATGCTAGCACGGTAATAGGAAAAACACAAAAGCACATCAAAGCAGGAAATCCCCCTAAATAAGTAAGACTACAACACTGAAATTGAATTCTGCACCTTGCAGTGGCATGGCTAACATGCTTGAGCTATTAATGTATTGAATTTTTCTCACTTTTTATTGCAAAAGTGATGTAATTTTCAAGCTGGGGATCTGAGGGTCCTGGACAAATATTTGTAAAATTTTTATCACTGCTAGTTGCAATGAAAGTTTTTCTAGAAAAGGTTTGTCTCTCAGACTTGATGATATGATAGTCATTTTTGGTATTAGGGCTGTGAAACTTTCAGATGGCATCCCCTTTCTCTCTAGCACATTATGACTGTGGAGTAGTTGAAATCAGTTTTATCTCTGAGATAGTATCAAGAGATGTATTGTCATTCTGTTTTAAATATGCAATTTTAAATATGAGACTGTTCCATATTTCCATAAGGCACAGGATGAAGGATCATGTCTTTGTGTTTATTTGTGTGAAGAACGTAGTATGCCTTTGGTTGTGGTACCTTTGAAGAGCCACCATGTTTGAACTCTCTCTCAACTCTCTCCCTTCATTTCTGCCCCATAACATTTATTTCCCATAATGTGATGATGGGACAGATAGTATGGAAATTTGTTCCCAAAAGTCTACATACTTTTCTGAAGCCTTTTTTAATCAAAGCTAGTCCCTTTGGTTTCAAGATCAAGCTAAAAATCCATGCAAAGTAGTCTTTCTCAGGAGGCTTAATGCACATCTTGAGTTTAACAGGTTCAGAATGAAAAATGCCCTTGTCACAGTAAGTTTCTTCAGGTTCCCCTTTGAAGCTAGTGAAAAAGTTTTAACTTCAATGGTAAGACATAAATGATAAGAGATAGTTCTTCCAACTGTTAATTAACAGCTGGATTCATAGTTCTGAAGAAAAATTCACACTTGAAGCAAAGATAGTCTTTCTTTAATAAATAGCCTATATTATATCACTAGTCTCTCCCATCATCTGATCACTATTGTTACAGAGTATTGATTATAATTTGATATATCGATAAAAGAATATTTTTTATTATTGTTTGGCATGAAAATTTTGTAAACAAGCAATAGCTGAATATAGTTTTTACTTAAGAGTTCCCCAATATATTCTGATTGAAAACATACCCAGAGAAGCATAGATCTCAGGGCTTCTAGGATTCATTTTTATCACCTTGTTTAATTCCTGCGTAACTAGACAGTAGATTTCCCCCAGTAATTCCACCATCAAGTCCAAAAATTCATGGTTGAACTAGACCATGTCTTTTCAAAAGGCATCCAGTCATGATTTAATGACTCCAAGTAATGGAGAATTTACAGCACACTTTATAGTAAACTGTTCCAATGGTTCATTACTCTCACTCCACCTTATTTCCACTTCCAAATTTTTGCTAAACTCAGCTTCTAACAACTGGACCTTAATATGCTTTTGAGACTGAAGAGCTGTCTACAGTCAGATATATGGAAGCACAAGAAAGGCACTCTTCAAAAATAAAACCAGACCAAAACCTGTTTCTTCATACTTTTAGGAATTGCAGTGAAGTTAGCAAATTTTCTTGGTTACCAAGAAGACAGAGTTTGGCTAATTTACTCTAATACAGTAACAGCTAAAAGAAGTTCTTCTGAGACCTATAGGTATGGTTCAAAGCCCACTGAAATGGGTTCAAAGTTCACTATATCTTCAGCAGGATTTGTATCATGCTTGGAGAAGAAACATAACACTGCATAGCCAAATATACTTTGAAATAAAAATGTCTCTCATAAACAACGTAAAATGAAAGCACTTTAAAAGGCATGTCCAGTGTGCTGATCTCATGACATGATACTTACTGGTTCAAAGGATAAAACCTAATCAGTTTCAACAAAATAAATGTGGTAAAAGATGTGCAATGTGGAGTCTATTTTATTTTTATGTAACTGTTAAAAACTTCAGATGGATGTAAAAAAGAGCAGAGGAAGGGAAGGTCACTTCTGTACTTCAAGAGCAATTTTATTTCCATTCCTATGGCTGTGTGTAACAATGGACTTGATTGTAATAGCATGGGTGGAGGATTCAGTAAAACTGTACAAGTACAGACAGAGATTGGGGTAATTACCAGTTCTGCTTAGTGCTCATGAATGTAGAGTTTATTTCTGCGAGAAACTAAAGTGAATGATGTCTTCTTTAATTCAAATTGCTTAAAATATTACATCATCAGAAAAATAGCAAAATTGGGAGGTCACCTTTGAGGTCCTCCTCAGTTAAATTCAGTCAGAGCTTAAATTTTAATTTTACTATATGCTTTAGCATTAAATAGTTGGAATCGTTTATGCATTTATTTTTGCAACGTACAAGAATACGTGCTGTTTTGCAAGTGGGAGCCTGAAATGCTTAGACACCTGCTACTCAAATGCAAGTGACTAGAGAGAGCAGAAGAGAAAAAGCATACTTCTTTCCTTTTCTTTACAAAAAAGGTGCAAAGCAAGCCAAAGGAAAAAGTACAGTAGGGGTTTTTTCCTACCTTTGACATCAGACTTCTGGTTCTAGGTCAGAAGTATGTATCTCAGATCCTCACCTAATTGTGCCTAGCTTTCTGGATTCAGCATCCTTCCACTTGCAAGCTCTGCGATCAGTATGCCTGCTCACTACCAGATGACTGGCTTGACCAATAGGTCTTCCATGTAACCCAAATTTAGCCAACAGAACAACTCCACTCCGGACCAATTAGTAAAGTTTCGTAATAATCACATTTTTTTCAATTCAGGAGTGTCTCGGTAAGGTAGATTAATTGCCATCATTCTCTCCTGACATGCTCTGTCTCAGAGCAAGTACTCTGCAGAAAACTATGGTTCATATGTATGGATATTTTAGCAGCTGTCAAAAGACAAAAGAGGGAGTCAAAAAAAGCAGAGGCGACTCCTCTGCAGGATGCATGAAGCCACATCCTTGTTCTCCTATTCCAGCACAAATGCAAAGAAATTTTAAAAAGCCTGCATCTGCACTGGTATGATTGAGACCCATCACAATAACCTGTATTATTCTCCAGTAACTGCTCTAATAGTAGTGGCACACCATGGTACGTCAGAGCAGGAACAAGCCTTTGAGGAGCCTTCTGTCCCTCTGACCCCCCATCTCAACACCTATGAGCAAGCACATTTCAATTGTAAAAAAACTGCAAAGTGAAACAAAGCTATCTTTTATTTCGGCATTTACCTTGCTATTTCTGGAGTCTAGCTGCCCTACAGCAATATGCGCTGCGGTAAATACTAGTCAAAAGAGATCAATTAAGCTTCGAGGCTTTACACCTTCACCAGACCTCGATGGTCTCCAGTTTTATTGCCTGCTCTCTGTCATTATTTGTGTGTGAGATAATAAAATGAAAGTCTTCCTTAGGGAAATATATAGTAACCAGTTTCAGAGGTTTGCCTGTAACAGGGGCCAGTCTGAATTTCACAGGGATTTTACAAGGTGAATTCAAAATCCCTTCAGAGGTTGGCAAAACAGTAAGTAACTTTTAGTTAAAAATAACAAATACACATATACATATGTGTCACCCAGAATGGTCCTTTGGCACTTAAGTCATATTTGCATGTATTGGAGAGTAGCACAATTGTATTTTCACCTACAACTTACAAAAAGGAGAAGGTGGTTTCCTGTCTGGATCGGGCCAGAATCTGTTATAAAAGAAAGTATTAATCCTGTTTTGTACTCTCAGATCTTCCTAAATATGTAAGCCTACATGTTGTGGTAAATTTTAAACTTCACATAAAGTGTTTTCTTCTGTATCAACATATAATAAGCCAGACGCTTTATAGGACAGTGTTATGGTTGTTTGCTTGAATATTAATATTATGAGAACACACTGAAGAGCATGTTAATAGAGGACTTACACATTTTTCACAATGATACTTAGAAGTTATATAAAAATGGATAGTACAGTATTATAATAATGCTCTACAACTGTAATGTACTTCAGAAGTTCTACCCTTTAATTCTTATAATTGCTTTACCATGTATGAAGTAAATTTGACAAACTGTTGAGTGACAATTAAAATCTGTCACAAACTCTGCCTTAAAATGATGTCCAACATTTTTTTCCCTTTCTCTTTTACAGGATGTCTGTTTAGGAACCAAGAAGATGCCTTTAATTCTATAGAAATAATACCAATTGGGAGCTGCTCTTGAAAAGATAAGGGAATTCTTATGAAGCATTCTTAGCAAGGGAAATTAATTACTCCTGTCCTGTCCCCTTTTCTTAAGTTCTGTGGAGAACCCTCTTTCATGGGTATGCATTTTTTTTCCTCATTTCAGAGGCATTTTGCTAGGGAAGGAGTGTTTCCTAAAATCAGAATTGCAGTTTTGCCTACTGCAACACAGTGCAGTTGCCTGACACATTTATTTTCCCTTATTCTTAATGAAAAATAATTTTCTTGAAATTTACAAGACAGGGTTCTGTTGTATAAATGGTATTTTACACAAAGTGATAGAAACACGCAGGCAAGATTAATTTTCTCCCTTTCCTTTGCCATACTTTGTCATCAGCTGAAATAAATTTAGGTTAAAGAGGAAAAAAACCTCTGAGAACAAAAAGAAGAGGGTTTTATTGCCCTATAATGTTTAAGATCTGTTTTCTGGAATAATGCAGCAAACATTGATGGTAAAGGATTAGTGTATCGAAATAAAAAAAATCCCGAGTTCAGGCATAAATCTATCGCAGCTGTGAAAGTGAAAAAATGTGGCCATTCAGCATTGCTCTCCCAGGAAAAGACACAGTTGTTTCAAAAATAAATCGTGTTTTTGCTAAGGCAAGCTGGTCATAGTTACTACAGGCTTAATCGTTAAAAGGGCAATAGGCTACTGGAAACTTTCAAGGGATGCAGCTATTCAGGATTATCATCAGCGAGTGAGAAGTCCCATTTCAGAGTAACTGGTGGTTGGTGCTTCAGCCAAATTCATGTCCTGATCACATCCCTCGGCAGTGAAGTGCAGACAAAACTCACGTGCAGAAAGGTGTGTAGTCATCTTCAGTGTGTGTGGTACTGAACAGAAAAGGTTACAAATGCCTTTGACTTCTTGTCTTCCCTTCCTCAAGTACCTGCTCATATAAATTGACTTTGGGGGGCATTTGAAGCAGGCGGATGGGGAAGTTCTTTGGAGAAAAGATAGTTTTAATTATAAGGAGAGCTCTCCTAAAATATAGCTGAGTCTTCTTTTTTCATGTTCTGGCTTTGTTTTATTATTCTTATTTCCTCTGGAAAACTTCACTATCCTGTCATTTTGTTTGTCATTTGTAATAAAATAATCTTAGCCTTCTGGGATCTTATTTCCTTTCTGTGCTTAACCCCAGGATATTTGTAGAGTCTCAAAAACCTCTGAATCAGATGCTTCCTAACCCAAACTGGGGCATGTATTTAAGTTTCTTATTAAAAAAAAAAAAAAGTTTTGGGGGTTTTTTTTTGCAATAACACATTTCAACATACAACTCTCATTCCAGCCATAGCAACCCAGCCCAAACTGAATGGGGGACTCACCATCAGCCTGAACAGAGATGATCTGAAGGATGAAGAAGACAGATCCCACGCCCTGGAGAAAGGTGAGAGAGAATCTCCGAGAGCCTGAAGCCATTGCCCTGCTCGCAAAGCCCTCGGCCGCAGGAGGTTGGCTGCCGAGGCTTTTTCTCTCTCCTCCGCTGCACTTTTGCAGCGGGGTCTGCAGTGATGATTTCAAGGAGCTCTTTCCCTCAGCAGGATCCTGCGTCTTGGGTTTGCACTGAAGGCGGGAGGGGTGGAAAAAGAAAGAGGGAGGGAGAGAGGAATCCTTGGCTTGGCTAGTGTGAAGGGGAGGGGAAGGTTGGGGGGGGAGATGTCCAGCCAGCTGGGGTTGGGGAGAGGCTTTATCCAGCCCTGTCTGCAGGGCAGTGCACGCAGAGAGCTGGTGTGAAAAGTCACATTACCCTGTCGGTAAATACCTAATGGATCACGGTGGAAAAAATGTAAAAGCCAGGAGGGAGAGAGAAAAAGCGGGGGGGGAGGGGGGGAGGAGGACGAGCAACGAGCAGAAGAAATGCCTGGCTGAGAGGAGAAGGGCAGCTAGGTAGCTGCACCGTTATGCGGTGAGTTTGTGGGTTTAGCCGTGCATCTCCGGAGGGATGGGTTCAGACGTGGGGAGTGTTTTCTCTCCGCAACCTGAAATCAGCCAGTGGTGCATTGCTGAGGGTGGTGGGTCAGGGGCTGCCGCAGCAAGAGTGACGGTTTTCAGGTAAGGGCTGAGGAAAGGTGACAAACGGCATGGGACCCTGGCAGCCAAGCCCCCCTGAAGATTGGGATTGGGATGGGTTAATCCTGCTGTTTCAGCTCTTGGGTTTGGGACGGGCATGAGGAACTGAAGGTCGAAGCAGGAGTCCGTGAGCTGGTCTCTGTCAGTGCTCCTGGTCCAGATGAATGGTGCTGGTCAGGTTTGAATGCTCTGAAAGCAGCTGATGAAAGGACTTTCCAGCTCCCGCTAGCTCTTACAGCACTGACATCTGTCCCTTATTCTCATTCTATATTTGTCCCAACAGAACTCAAAAGAAACCCCCACAATAAGAGGAAACATACTGGTGGTGATGCCAGGATTTATTTCGCTAAATATATAAATGGAATAGTTTTGTGTTGCTGTTGGAACTGAACAGGGTTCAGAAATGTTGTTTTCATATTCCCATCCTATTTTGCTTTTATTTCAGCTTCTTAAAATTTTTTCCCTTAGAAATTCGAAGCTGGGAAAAAATGCTCAGCCTGCTAGAAACTGTGAGCCATCCGGAACAGAAGTAAGGACCTGACCCTCCTCACTACCAGAGGCCCTGGTGTCCTATATGGCTGGTAGGCAGTTGCAGGCATCTTCTGATAAGGATGAACCTGCCCAATCTTGGTTTCGATCTGAAATGACTCAGGCTCAGGAACTTCTGTATACGATATTCAAGGAAGCAAGGGACACCATAATACTGGAAGTGTTAAAAATACCTACGTTTGAGCAATTCGGGCAGCTAATGCTCTGATCCTGTTGACTTTTAAAGAATTGTAGCCTTCTTTCCCTACTTTATACCCATGCATGGCACATGAATGTACTGAAAGCCTTCAGACAGGTAGCTTTGAATCTTCTGTTTATCCAGAGAATAGGGATGGCAGCAGGTTTCTTTACATTGCCTTGCCAGCCTAACTTGTAAGGAACACCTCCAGAATTAGATGGATGGGCAGTTTCTTGCTTACTCCATCCTTAACATGGGACGGTTGGCATAATGTAACTACGTAACTGCATTTCATTTCAACGGAAACTGTATGCTCTGTACAACAGAAATTGGAATCAGAAAAGGAATCAGAAAATTGTAGTATTCTTTGAATTTATTTGTATTTCTTTTACTAGTGACATAGCTAATAGCATAAAATGCAGTTTTAACCCTCCGATATGCTAATAGTTCTACCCCTATTTTAAGTATCAGTGGATACAAAAAGATGAGAGAAGACGTTCAATCTACACACTTTTAGTGAGAGCAAAGAGATTCCATGAAACTGCATGAGTAATTACAGCAAGACACACAGGCATTAGCAGAGACTTGACGTGACCACAGCAATAGCTCCAGGTTTCCTTGACACTTGTCATAGGACTGATGACTTTGTTGGCCCTTTGCTGTCCTCAAGAGTTTGGCCAAGGCAATTGGAGGAAAGGACAGTATCTTCCGGATTTCCATCTAAAATTCCAAAGGTCTGTTGGATGAGTTGTGCTATAAATGGATCAATTCCTTGTGTTGATATATATAAAGGCATGTTGCTACTCTGGCTCCTGTCTTGGAAAATCTCGGCTTGTATTCTTGAGTAGAACTTCTTACTGATTTTAAAGAATTACGACAGACCACAGGATCTGTTCCTTTTTGAAGGCATGAACTGTTTGTAGAATAACCTGGCTTCTTGTCATCCCATCTCAACTGTAAAGTAACTCTGTAAGCGTGGAAAGGTAAGGACACTTACCAGTTATTAAGTCCTGGAAGGTAAGTACCTCTCCACCAAACACTGTCCTTCCAATCCAATATTTCTATCAGCAAAAATCCCTGCTCCTAGTGTATTTTGGAAGATTTACATAAAGCTGAGCAGAGTAGTTTTTGTACTGAATTGATGTACGCATTGTTTTGCACTGAAATCAACATTCATCAGGCAAAAACCCTGCCTTGAGATATTGGGCTTCTTGGAACCAGAAACTCCAAATGAGATCTGGAAGTTAAGATGGTTAGAAACAGGTATAACCTTTTGCTCAGAACCTCTGGCATTCATAGCACTACAGTAACACACTGGTCAAACTATTCAGTGTATGATGTACAATGTATTATGACACATTACAGAAGATTAATTGTACGTGCAGCTTTACACAACTCCTAGATCATGTCTTCCTTGGGAGTAGTGAATGTGCCAATGGTGGTATTTTATAAAACAGTGCTTCACTATATGCAAACTTTTACATAGGGAGTAAGACATCTGAAGGCACTGGGCCATAAAGTACATACATACACATATGAATGTACACACACAAACCGGGCATCTAGTACCTGAAGAGCATCTATATACATTTACATCTGGAATATGTCATTCAAGTTAGAGTGGTTTTTTAATACTAAATAAAACACCTAAAAGAAATACAAGTGAACAAAGACACATTTGAAAACAGGAACATGTGTATTTACAATAGAGATTATTGTATTTGGTCTCTTCATAGCGACTGCTAGGAATATTTATTTTTTGCCATTAAAAATTTATATACTATAAACATTATAGATGTAAAGGCTCCAATTCTGCAAATTCTAACACATGATCTTAAGCCTTTGCAAGATAAGGACCTAGGATCCTAAAGCCTTGAGCAAATAGACACTGTCAGAAACGTTTGCTATCTCAAGCCAAGCTGGGCAGATGGTGGCAGATTTGTTAAAGTGCTGCAGCTGGCAAAGAATCTGGTCTTTGAAGAATGCTGGAAAGTCATAGGAAAGGTCACTTTTCATATCAGAATAAAGCACAATAGAAATGAAGTTTCTGTTCAGAAAAAAGATACCTCTCTTCTCTGTCACTAAAGCATGAGATTCTGTTTAACTTGTTTCTCTGCATAATGCAATAGCTTCAGATATTGACAGTCTGCATAACTTAGCTTGAAGAACTGAATTTAAATGCAATATAGGCTTTAGGTTTACTTATCATCTTAAATTTTAATTCTTTTTTTAAAGAAAGACACCTACATTAATATGTGAGCAAGGTGGTGACTGAATTGCTCTAACCAGCATGATTATTAGAATTTATCATGCAGTCTGGAATTTCTGAAGTACTGTCTCCAGATGAAGTGGAAAGGAGATAAATACAGAAATAACTGAGGCATACAGCTTGCTATGTGCCCTACACTCAGCTGCAGAGCCTGCATAAAATGATGGCACTACTGGGTAACTCCATAACCATCTGTGGTGATCCATGCCCAGGTATGAGTTATCATATCCAAACTTTCAGATACCAGTTGATATATGTAAATATCATGAAATGGTTGATTTCCTACAGGCCAGACATGTTGGCGATGGCTGCCCCTGGATACAGTAGTGAGAACTGTGGAAACCAAGAGGATTTGGGTTCTGTAGCTTACTAACATGTCAACTTGTAAGGCTGCACAACCTCTTCAGACTCTCTCTCTTCACATATAAATGGAGATAACCAACTTTACACACCATTCTGATATACTCTTAGTAAATCAATGTAAGCTTCTTTATAGATACCTTTGTAGTATCATCTTCTTCCCTGGAGTCTATGACTTGAGCTGCTGCTAGAAACAGGACATAAAGAATTATGGCTCGGCTTGCCAAGGACCATGTAAAGGGATCTGAAATACCTAATAGACGACACAGCATTTACATACAAGCACTGCAATGACTGACATCTCCTGAAGGATATGGAGTCTGTGCGACTGAAAGGCAGGCAGGAAACCTTGGTAGTACTGTACACCTATTGTATTCGTGGATAGTACACCTACTGTATACGGGGGTCCAAACTTATTCTGCAGCTGTATCCAAGCTTCTAACCCCCAAAAGCCAACTGGTAAAGGGAAAGAAAAAAGAGGGAGAGAAAGATTTCTTTGTTTATAAAACATGAATTATTAAGCAACAGTAACAGAGACAAACATTTTTCAGTGTCTGGCAGTCTGCAACAGTCTAATAGCTGCAGGGAACTTTTTATTTTATTTATACAGAGTGTTTGCACCTAATTAAATGAAAAAGTAGAAACGTGCAGAACTACCTGAAAGTAATTCAGGGAGCTGACAAGAAAAAATAAAATTAAAAAGAAAGGGAAAAGGCATATGCCCCACTTTCTGGGTGGTGTGTCGAACACAGGGACCTGTGTCATGGTGCTGCTGACCCTGAGAAAGACTGTGATTCTTACACTTACATCATGTTATGTGGGGTCAGGCATTGCACGTGACAGGCCACGACCCTCATATAAATTATTGCCATGTAAACTGTAAAAATCACACTTCATTTTTGAAGACTGAGCAGTCTCAAGAAAAGAATGAAGATATCTGGCCATAAAACGGCAGCCACAATATTAGTGATATACAAAATTAACTCAATTTTT